CAACGCGATTGCAGGTCTGACACCTATCAGGGTTTGGTTGACAGTATTGGTTCAGGTTTTGACAACACCAGTGATGTTGGCAAACGTATAGTTCTGCCAGGTTCATTCATCGGTGGCCCGCGTGATATGCGCGGTCGTTACATGGATGCAATGAACCTTGTACAACATTATGGTAAACCAGACTTATTCATTACTATCATTTGTAATCCTAATTGGCCTGAGATAAAAGAGCGTCTTGCCTTTGCTGATGAGGTTCAGAACCGACCTGAACTTGTGGCCCGCGTATTTCGCGCACGTCTTGAGGATTTTAAAAAAGACATAGTGGCAAAGGCGTTACTGGGGAAGGTGGTCGCATATACATACGTAATTGAATTCCAAAAATGTGGCTTGCCGCATGCCCACTTTCTACTCATCTTGTCCCGTGAAAATAAAATCTCCACATCCGCCCAATGCGACAAGCTCATCACCGCCGAAATACCTGATCCTGAAGTAGATCCAACGCTGTATCAACTTGTAAAGAAACATATGATACACGGCCCATGTGGTTCCATGAACATCCAATGCCCTTGTATGGTTGTGAAACATGGTGCTGTCTTGCCGTCATGCAGGAGCAAATACCCACATACTTTTTCACCTCTTACATCCTTTGATGAAAACTCCTTTCCTACCTATAAGAGACATTAATCAGATATAACTGTACATGTGAGGAAACATTACCTAGATAACCGTTGGGTTGTACCTTACAATGCATTTCTACTACGCAAATATGATTGCCACATAAATGTCGAAGCTTGTGCAAGTATTCGTTCAGTTAAATATATCTACAAGTACGTGTACAAAGGTCACGATCGCGTCAGTATGGCGTTGTCAGGTGTGACTACCAGCATGGAGAATATTTGGTTTTCCGATTTCAGAAATGAAGCCAGCTGTACTCCAACTGCAAGTGCACCTTGAAAATTCCCAATACCTCACCTTCCATGGTAATCAGCGTATAACTTACATAACTGGATCCGCTGAATCATTAAGCACAATGCTGACCCAATTTTTTTTCTATGAATAGTTCAGATCAAACAGCTAAATCATTAAATCTGCTGTATGTTGAATTTCCTAATTACTTTGTGTGGTCTTCTCAGAATAGGAAATGGACGCAACATAAAAGGCGGGAGGTACTTGGCAGACTTGTTTCGGTCAACCCTATCGAGGGTGAACGCTATTACCTCCGCCTTTTATTGTCCAATGTGCGCTCCCCAATCTCCTTTGCAAATCTAAAATCTGTTGATGGCATTGCGGCACCCACGTTTAGGGATGCAGCTGAGCGTCTCGGACTATTAGCAAGTGACTTCATTATACGTTCATCGCTTGACGAAGCTGCAATCTTCCAACTACCAACCAGCCTACGAAAATTGTTCGCCACCCACTTGTGCTACTCAGACGTTCCTAATCCGCGTACACTTTGGGAAGAATATAAGTCCGCTTTATGTGAAGACTTTCGCAGCTTTCAAAGTCAGATTGAAGCTGAAATATCAACATTATCCTTATTGCGTGAACTGTTAGCCGATATGGGGAAAGACATTGCCACTTATGCCTTGACTGATGGGGTATTCAATATACCTGTGCCTGCGGAAGGCACGCGAGAACTTATGGCTGAATACAACATAGTTTTCAATGATACAGATCTTAACAGCATCTTGTCCTTGAATGACATGCAACGAACAGCATTTGAGGCTATCATGTCAGCGGTGCGTGCAAATCAAGGAAAAACATTTTTCGTTGATGGTCCAGGGGGGACTGGCAAAAGTTTCCTATACAGATGCTTACTGGCTGCAACAAGATCTAACAGATGGATTGCCCTTGCAACTGCCAGTTCGGGAATTGCTGCGTCTATGCTACCAGGTGGTCGCACTGCACATTCACGATTTAAATTGCCACTTGATGGGGAATCTAGATATATTTGTAACATTGGGAAGCAATCTTCAGAGGCTAGACTACTCAGAGAAGCGAGGCTTATTTTATGGGATGAAGCATCCATGGCTAACCGCAAAGTTGTTGAAAGTTTGGATACAACACTACGGGACATTTTGGGTGTCGATACCCTTTTTGGTGGTAAAGTTATGGTATTCGGAGGCGATTTCAGACAAACATTGCTTGTAGTTCGATCAGGCACCAGACAAGATTTTGTTGACGCATGTCTCCTCAGGTCACAAACAATATGCCCACAAGTACATAGACTACGGCTTGTAGCAAACATGCGTGCCCATGAGGACCCCGGATTCTATGCCTATTTGATGCGCATTGGTAACGCCACTGAACATAGTGTTACACCAGGGCGGATTAAGATTCCATCCACTTTTCTACTTCCTTGGATTAATGAGTCTGCCTCGCTAGCACTTCTATTCGCTGCGGTATACCCAGATTTACAAGTATTTCAGACCGAACCATACTCTCTAATGAGCAGGGCCATCCGTACAACTAAAAATTCCATCGTTGACTTTATCAACGCTTCCTTAGTAACAGCATTTCCTGGCGAAGCTCACACCTATCTTAGCCATGATATGCCTGTAGATGGCAAACATATGCATTGTGAGGATTATCTACACACCTTATCCCCAACTGGGTTACCACCTCACAGGTTAAATCTCAAACACAACTGCCCTGTCATGTTGCTACGCAATTTAAATCCATGTGAAGGTCTGTGTAATGGCACTAGATTAATTTGTGATTCATTTGGGGATCACATTTTAAGTTGTTTTATTGCATCTGGTGACCATAAGGGAAATCATGTCTTCATCCCCAAAATACCACTGGAGGTCTCCAAGGATGAAAACTGTCCAATCCCATTTAGACGTGTCCAGTTCCCCATCAAAATCTGCTTTGCAATGACAATCAACAAGTCGCAAGGGCAAACACTAGACTTTGTTGGCATTTACTTGAAGGAACCAGTTTTCTCACATGGTCAACTATATGTTGCCATGTCCAGAGCGCGCAATGCCGAATCAATCAAAATTGTGATTTGCCCTGATGATCCTCGGCCAGCATTGGCTGACACAACGCTAAATGTGGTTTATGAAGAACTCTTGCCTTACATTAATTAGGTTCCCTTGCACCTTTGCCCTTTGTTCTCCCCACCCCTATATGTACTTTTGTCTTCCTTCACTCATCTCATTAACGGTTTGCTCATTTGTTTTGTTTCTAATTTGCAGTCCACATTACCATGGCTTCTGAGGTTCCAATTGTGGAAGTGAAACCAAACACCCGGGGCTGGACCTGTCGTGTGACATTGATCGAAAAACAAAATGTCCGCACGGCCAAAAGATCACCCTTAAAGTTTATGCCAATGATCTTGCAAGATTCCACTGTAAACACCCACCTAACTGTATCTATATGTATATATGTCAGATATTATAATTCAATTCATTCTGACATTTTTAATTCATTACATTTCAGGGCACCAAAGTCCAGGCTACTGCATTCCAGGGCGATATAGAAGGGATTGATCAACGCTTAACCCTGTATTCAACCTACCTCGTCTCAGATGCCTATGTGAAGACAATAGCTGACATGCGTTTCAACGTAGATGATACATACCCATATGTTTGGTCATTGAACAGGCGCACACTAATCCAGGATGTGGATATATCAGAAGGGCCTAACTACCGCAAAATTGCCGAAGCAGAAACTACACCATTTGGAGACATCTTTATCAGTTTCCTCCATGATACACGAATCAGTATACCACTCTTCCTTACAATTGTACTTCATGCATCCCTTTACGTGGTTGGACATTGCCAGTGGTTGTGGACTTCTCCTATCTCTTATGTCTGAGCTTGGGGGTAGGAACGTAGGTTAAGTTTTCAAATCAGAGATGGAGAGGGAAATAATTTATAAATATACCCTGTTTTCTCTTTGGTTCATACAAAGAAATTTCACAAAGTTAACCATTGCTCGCCAACAATGAAAATTAATTTCATTTTATAAAGAAAACAATACTTCAAATAAATATAGTAGCATAGTAATTGATGGAAGTACATGCTCTCTTACTTGACAACAAAAGTGCTAGTGTAACTCCTAATAGAAGAAATGCTAGTGTAGTGTGCCCATAACTTAACATCTTTCAAAGTATGCTCTCCACATTTAGCTTTTAGAAAAAAATAAATAGTTGGCTTGTGTATAATAACAAACACTGTATTCACGAAAAAATTAAGGATTTATTTCCTAAATTTAAAGTAAATAAACAATAATCTATAATATGTACAGAAATGACTTAATCAAACAAGAATAGTGTATATTTATCAAAGTATAAAATAAAAGTAAAACAAATAGCTCGAAAATAAAGGTATATTTATCCTAAATTTTAATCAAATACAAAAGTGGTATCATTTCACCTATTTGTGGTCCGACAGTGGTTGCTCACGTTTCTAAGGCTTGTGTGGAGTAGAATCCCCAATATACTTTGTTAATCTCCCAAAAGAGATTATTAGAATTCTGGAAGCCAAGATGCATCCTTCTTTTGGGGTGCTTCTCTTTTTTCATGGATTTATTTGGTGTTCCTTCTCTTTGATTCTCTATTTAATTTTCCTCTCAAACTTTTTTCTCATGTATTTTACAGAGGAATGCCTCTGAAGGAAGGTTTTGGTCTGGTCCCCCTTCCTTTTTTTGTACTCATTTTGATTTTTAATAAAACTATGGTAGATGTTCCCCGACTTTTACCCCACTTATTTTGGTGGTTTGTCTACCGGGTTAAAAAAACAGGTTGTATGAAAAAGATAAACAGAAAACTAAACTTACTCTCAAGAATTTTAACAAACACTATATATGCAATGTTAAATTTAGGTCCTAATAAAATAAAATAAAATAAAAACTAGCTTACATATGGACATATGGAACGCAGACGTCGGAACTGTGGATGACATTAGCGGCGCAACTAACCCACGATGCTCTCTAGACATCTGATAGCTCCAAGTCTGCTGCTCTACTCGCTCGCCACTGTCCTAGAGGGTGATGAAAGGTCACAGAGTCGTGATGCGGGCTGCTCTGCTTGCCGATGCCAAAGGTCCGGCCTGATTTGCTCGCTCCACTGGATGCTAATGATGAAAGGCCACTGAGTCGTCACGCGGTGAGTAACTCGGAAAAGGTGTCCATCTATTGATGGATGCTACGCCGGAATCAACCTGCTCAGCTCGCTCGTGTAGATGATAGTGTTCATGTATATTTGCCTAGGGTTCAAACAATTTTACAGATCTAAAGGAGTTTAGGCGGCTTCTTCGGAGCTTCTAAATTCTACTTAGTAAACTAATCTAGATCGGTTAGAACAAATCTAGAATAATCGGCGACTTTTCATTTTTTTTCATAAATCTACATCGCTTATAACCGTTCTGGTAAACATTTTCATTAATTCTAAAAAGTACCCCGTTTTCCATTTTCACATCAGTTCCAATGACAACCGATGTGGAATATTTTATAAAATTTTAAAATATACCCCCGCGGACCTATTTAACATCAGTTATAAATACAACCCATGTGGAATAATTTATAATAATTATAAAAATGACCCCGTATCACTATTTCACATGGGTTGTGAGATAACCCATGTAGAAAGTGTGATGTAAAAAGCCTTTTCTGTACTAGTGTACAAATGAAGCCCATCTCTTGTAACAGGTATTTTGAAATTGTATACTCCTATTTTCCCGTCCATTTGATTTATTCTTTTGACTAACATTTACTTGCTATTTTTCTAATTTCAATTATTCCTCTGTAATTTTTTATTTTTACTTTCTTAAATAATGAAGTGACTCGTGTCTCCTAATTGTGACGAAATACTTCTAACTTACATGAATACTTCAATTAATATAATTTCTCATTTTTACTTAAATCACCAGAATCAGCTAAAACAATCATGAAGATTCTGTTACATTTGATTCAACTGATTTCAATTATAATCTATTCAAAACTACATCACCAAAATCCATGACCTGTGAAATAAATTTTTAAATTGAATGCTACAAAAAACATTCATTTTTATAGAATATCGTCAATTTTATTATTTTAAATCATAAAATATCACATTTAACACAAGTAATATTCCCACATTTTATACAGAAAATTCCTTTTTATTTAAATTTCTATATTTATATACATTGTATTTGAAATTGGTAATTGTTTGAACGACAAATTAATTATGCTTATCCCGACTGTTGGTACTCTGCTCATAATAATCCCAACTATTGATTATTTCAAAATAATCCCAACTGTAGGCCCCTTCTACCAATAATGGTCCAAAATAATCGAGTATAAATAAATTCTTATGATTACTAAAAAAATATGGTAAGTAATCCCTTTAAATAATCCTAAATTTCAATGTTTACGCTTGATTTCTATTAAAAAAACACTTGTTAAAATAGGTAATATACAATCATAGATCATTATTACCGGTCAATCCATATTGTTGAGATTATACAATATAATCAAAAGTTAAGATAATTGTTAACGAAACCACAATAGTTAATCTTATAATTTTCAATTTTTTCCTTGTTTAAATTAATTGTTTTTTGTCAAAAGTGAAAGCACTTGTATTAATTAAACCAGCAATTAATTAGACCAATAAACCTTTGTCCTTTATAAACCCGTACCAACTGCCACCGCCACACCTGATCTCTCTGTCTCTTCGCTTCAGCTTCCTTGCCAGCCTTCGTCTCTCCCAAAAGCCGTCGTCACACTTCCAACTGCATCCCGCCTAACCAGGTATCATCTTCCCCAACGATTTGCTCACTTTCTTGCTTTATAGCCCTGTCCGCTTACTTCTGTCCCCAACATCGCGCCTGCAGTACCGCCTGTCCCAACAATTTTTTATTTTATTTCCCACTTCGCTTGCATGGATATATTTTACTCATTTGTTTGTTCTTTTCAGGTCTATGGATTTGCTCAGCTCTTGTATCATTGAAAGAGAAGGGCATCACGCTCAGACTGAAACTCTTACATACTTCGTCAGGACAGTCCATGGGCGAAAGCTCAAGGTTGTTGTGGTTACACAGACACGCATGGGTGAGAATACCTGCGAGTCCAATGATGATTGGAAACGATTTTTGCAAATTTCGGGCTACTGGAGGCTCCTGCCAAAATATTTCAGAAACAAGGATGAACTTGAGCATAAGCTTACCCATTTTGTGCGTAGAGGGTCCTTAATGCCTCCAATTGCAGGTTAGTTCCATACTCTCTCCCTCCACCCTGCCCACCTAACAACCTGGGCTTCTTAATAGATTTAATGCATCACTCTATGGCATTTTCATTCTTTGTTTAAACACTTTTGAAAAAAAAAATCCCTTTTCTTATCTGCACACCATGTTAAGGTGTGTTTCATATAAATACTGAATTAAATTTTTATAAACTACATGTATATTTTGTATAGTCCTTTCTTTCATCTATGATTTCTTCTCATTGATGCTTTGTTAATTTTGGAACCAAATTTGAATTAAAACAAATCAATATTTTGTTTGTGTTTCTTCATTGTTAGTGATTTAATCAGTCTTCTACTACCTTATTCACATATCCTTATACCTCCTATCAGCAGGGATTGCTAATGTAATAATACGTTTTTATAATGCCTACTCTTTTACCTATTATTGTTCAATCACACAGCCTGTCCGAAAACTCGTAGCATTCACTTCCCGGACGTGCTTCAATTCAACGTTGTTTGGTTTCAGCTTAACATCCCCGCTATTGACTTCGCTGTATGTTTACTTCTTTAGGTTTACTGATTGTCTCTTGTTTTTGCCCCATACCTGATCACATCGATGTTACTTTTTTTTACACCCATTATTGTCCAGAAAATCCCTCCCTGCATGCACAGGCATCTGTTCGAACATATGCGACCCTATGCTCACCTTGTGTATGGAACAACCTCATGGGATGTCCAATTCAATGATTGCGCTTTGACTGAAGGCTTTGCTGAACTATTCATCAAAAATAATATTGACTTTGGCGCATATGCTCTCCTAAGGCATGTGGGAAACTTCACTTTTGAAGTATTCATGTTTGACAAACTAGGATTTTCTCTTAACTTGGCTGGCAAACCCATGGGCGTTTCAAATCCGTTGCATACCCCAGGTACATTGATACATAGTCTCGACTTTACTGCCACACACCTCATTCACCCCCAGTTAATTTTTCTGATTGTCCATACCTGTCTACATTTTATATGGTGTACCATTTTTGTTGATTCTCCCTTGCACAACTTCATCATATACACTTTTGTTACGTACAGATGACTTCCTTGTTTATGTGGAGTCTTCTTTCAAAGATTATTCATACAACCACTTGTATTGTCACCCATCCTTTCTCTTTGTCCCCAAGAAAACGAGTAAGGTATGTGCTTTAATACATTCATTCATATTTAATCTCTCTTTCTTTGTACTTCTTTATTCCCTTTATTAAACAATCCACTTCATTTAATTAGCAACAAACCACAACGGGAGAAATAACATCTAAAATGTATATATTCATACCTTTGATATCACCCTCAAATGACCGTTGCATACATTTCACATATTTCACACCCTTGTTTTCTGTATTTTTTATGCAAAAACTTGAACCATCCCGTTACAGGTATGCTGTGAAGCCTTCCTTCGGTCATGCAACGATATGAGAAACCGCGTGCGCATCTTCTATGGCGACGATGATGCTTACTTTGTCATTGGCCCCCAATCAATGCACCACCAGATTAAAACAACTTTCGAATTGAAGCGCCATTCCACTCTTTTCTTCATTAGGCATGGCAGAGGTCAGGCACTGCTTCTTATAATTTCGTCATGCGGGATGGAAAAACTACCAAACAAACCACATGTGTATGAAATACGGAGCACTACCCGCACTGAGTTTGCTGAAGGCCCTTGATTTCCCTCCATCCGATTACTATGCTATCCCTTTACTCTGGAACTTACTGTTTTTTGCAACTGCACATTTCAAGCACTATTAACCAAACTATTATGCCCTAGCTATATGCTTTGCTGGTATTTTTGTTTTCTTTTTTGGTCCAGCAAACTAATTGCAGTTTAAGCACCCAACATTTATGTTTTTATGACATTGAATCTCTTTTGGCTCATTTGTACTGTGTCTGCATTTCTATTTTTTTACAAAACGCTTTTTTCATGATATCACGCGTTGGGCACCTGCCGTCGCGCAAAGCACGTCCCCTCGCTAGTGTATATATATATATATATATATATATATATATAGGGTGAGAACTGCCACTCTTAGGCTGAGAACTGCGAAGTTTAACTAACACATTAAAAACATGAACTTTTAATCAATAAATCATAACTTATAGACACCGTAAAAAATAATTACGAAAATGCCACCGCAAAAAATAAGCCTAGAAACCTTGAAAATTTTTGGACTCGGTGGCATTTTCGTAATTATGATGGAGAGCTTTATAAGTTATGATTTATTAGTTATAAGTTCCTATATTCAGTCTATAAGTTTACTGCGTTGTAAGATTAGAAGCAAATCCAAGGGCTGAGATTGCTTCTCACTTTAAGGGGGACTTCTCACCGGATCTTCTCTCTCTCTCTCTCTCTCTCTCTCTATATATATATATATATATATATATATAAAGAGGAAAGTTCATGTCCGGAATTCCGGACAGGAACCGCCGTCTGGACGGCAGCGTTTGGCCGCCTTCCTGGTGGAAGTTTTTGATGAAATTTTTATGGCATGTTCTTCATCAAGTCTAGTTTATCCACAAAAACATTCAGATAAAAACTCAATTGGGAAGGTCGTCAAATAATTTTTACAAGTTAACTGTGTTTTATATGTATTTTCCGGCGCAGTTATCTTGTAAAAATCATTTGATGACCTTCCCGATTGAGTTTTTAGCTGAATATTTTTGTGGATAAACTAGACATGATGAAGCACATGCTATAAAAATTTCATCAAAAAACTTCACTGGGAAGGTTCCCAAAAGCCGTCGTCTGGACGGCGGTTCCGATCAGGAATTCCTGACCGGAACACTACTATATGTGTGTGTGTGTGTGTGTGTGTGTGTGTGTGTGTAGAGGAATGATCCTGTCCAACACCTTTCTGTCCGAACATCGTCCGAACATAGTCATTTGGGGCACTTCCCGGTGGTATTTTTTAATGAAATTTTTTGAGCATGTTCCTAATCAAGTCTAGTTTATCCATACTAAAGTTCAGCTCAAAATTCGATAGGGAAGGCAGTCAAATAATTCGTTGAAGTTAACTGCGCCAAATTATACATAGAAAAACCCAGTTAACTTCAATGAATTATTTGACTGCCTTCCTGATCGAATTTTGAGATGAAATTTGGTATGGATAAACTAGACTTGAGGAGGAACATGATCAAAACATTTCATCCACAAATTCCACCGGGAACCGGCCCAAACGGCGGTGTTCGGACGGCATTCGGATAGAAAGCTGCTGGACCTGAGAATTTCTCTCTCTATATATAGGGAAGAGTTCAAATACAAAGAGTTCGTCACATGCAAATAGAGAATTAATCTTGTGCATTCATTTTCATATCTAATGACTCAAAATGAGCCAAAAATGCACTACAATTGATCAAAAACGCGGTAGCAATTTCGTAAATAAACCGAAGTTTTCTGCCACTGCGAAAAAGTGCAATATAAACATGAAATAGTGCAACACGGTGAGAAAAAAGTGCAAATGTTCGCACTTTGCACGGGTGCACCTCTTTTTATTTGAACTCTTTCGCTATATATATATATATATATAGTGAGAGAGAGATGATCCTGTGCAGCACTCCCCCGTCAGAACGCCGTCCGAACACCGTCGTTTGGGGTGGTTCCCGGTGGAAATTTTTGATGAAACTTTTTGAGCATGTTCCTCATCAAGTCTAGTTTATACACAGAAAAGTTTAGCTCAAAATTCGATCGGGAAAGCAGTCAAATCATTTTTGAAGTTGACTGCATTTTTATATGTATATTTTGGCGCAGTCAACTTCAAAAGATGATTTGACTGACTTCCCGATCGAATTTTGAGCTAACAGGTTTTGTGCGTAAACTACACTTGATTAGGAACATGATTAAAAAAATCCATCAAAAAATTCCACCGGAAAGGGCTTCAAACGGCGGTGTTTGTACGGAGAAGTCCTGGACATTATCATTTCTCTCTCTATATATATATATAAACACACACCCCCTCCCCCCCCCCCACACGGCCACACACACACACACACACACACACACACATATATATATATATATTTATATATATATATATATATATATATATATATATATATATATATATATATATATATATATATATATAGTCTTGTGTGTGTGTGTTGAATTATTTGAATATAATGAACTTGTGAGTTGTGATGCCTCAAATACAATGAAGATTATTTTCATGTTTTTATATACCTGATCTGACACTGTCCGTATGGCTGGAGTAATGAAGACCATCACAATTCCGAAACACACACACACACACCTACTATACATAATGAAGATCAGAACAGCTATAGAGTATTTTTGTACGTATTGGGTTGGATTGTAAAATTTGCAAGTGCGTGTAGGTGGACGGGCGGCTAGGCTGTGAGGACAGAAACAGGGCCATGAATGAGATGGTGGCGCATGGCATGTTGATGGATCAAATCTTGAAGCCTGGCAAATGCAACCAAGAACTGAGCCGCATCTGTTGGGGGGCTCACCACCTTCTTCACACTCACATGCATTGCTTTCACCCTCAGGTTTTGGGCCTTGATGAGAACCTGATGAACCTTTTTGAATTCGGTGTGAACACAAGCTAAAGCCGCCACACCCCCCTTCTTCTTCCTCATCATTCCCAAAGGGAGGTGAAAGATGCAATTCGCTTGGATTTCAGCCATCTCCTCCTCGATCACTGCCTCCTCCGCGCGCAACTCCTCCATCAGCAGGGGCAGAACCGTCTTCACCGCGCGGGACTCGGGAAGGGTGCCCGCGTGGATTAGGGAGTGGAGGAGGCGCGGGATGGCCGAGGGCCTCCAATCGCCCAACCAGGAAAGGGCTGCTAGCTCACGGGGCGGGGCCCATTTTGGCATCAAGACCTCGGCTACATCTTTGATCAGCTTGGTCGGGATACTGCTGTACTGCGCCTGGAAACGCTTCACCTGCTCATCAATCAGATCCTCCATTGACCACCTTCCCTTCAGCTCCTTCTCTAACCTTTCTGCTCCCTTCATTTGTTCCATCCTCCATTGCCCATATTCATCACCACAATACTCTTCACCTGATCCCCTCCACCAGTTTCCGGCCAGAGTCAAATTAAATACATTCAATGTCACACTAAGTAAACCATTGTTTTTCTATTCTCTGTTCTCACATACTCACTGAGCAACAAAGAAATCCTTCACCTGCTACTGTTATTTGGATTTTCAGTTTCCAAGTCCTTTATTAAACTCGTTCTTTTTCTATTTTCTCAAAGTGGAAATCTGTTGAACCTTGAACATCACAACACTTTTCATGTAATTAAGTCTATTGATTTTCAATTTCCGAGATTGAAAAAAGTAACAAAAATCTGCATTGAGGCATTTTATCAGTTTTACAGGAAATTAAAATAAAATAAAAACCCCAATCTTTTTATGATTTCGTCAAGAACTACCAGAGAAACATTGTTTTCTCAAGCAGGAGTTTTCTTTGCGTTTTCCGGAACATTCAATTTCAGAACTCTCAGAGTGAAAGGAACATCTACCACTGATCAGTTACACGGCTTTACTTTCCAACCATGGAAAAAGAAAGAAGACCAAGAAAAAGGTTTATTGAGACACTGTAATTTCCAAGAATTATACAACCAAGAACGATTCTTTTCTACTCGTATTTTGTGAAGAATGCCTTTTTTAGAGAAGGAACCCTCCGTTTCAGAATTTTCAAAAAGAAAGCAGCGAAAAAAGTTGCAAATTTCTTACATCTTTTGTAGGGTTGCCGTTTCTGGATTGGCATGCAAGTAATCCGTGGTGCAATCTCACTGTAGAAGTCTTCATCTTTATCAGACTCATCATGGTTCAGTGCCTTTCCTCTGTTCTTGAAAGTTGCTCCGGGTTGTTTACTGGAAGAATGCATTTTGTGAGAAATTCTTCGGACCTTAGGATTAATTTGTTTTAAGAAGGGGAACTTACAGTAGAGGCAGAGATTGAGGCCTTCTCATCGTTCGGCTCCTTCTCTCTTCTTTTGTCTTTTTCTCCTCAGGGAATGTAAAAATTGTAAATATGATCCAACTAAATGATCAAGGTTCGCTTGTGCGATGGAAACTATTCTGTAGTAAGGGAGGGTCGCCTATAATAATTGCAATTAAAAGATAGCCTTCCCTGTGCGTTTTCATCTTTAAAAGTGCTTTTAACCTTTTTCACTAATTTTTTGTGTGTGCCAAACATTACTCCATCCGTCCTGAAATTATCTTCATACTTTTCTTTTCATTCTGTCCCAAATTTATCTCTCCTTTCCCTTTTTAGCAAAGAATATGTGGTTCACAACCATTCTTACACATTCTTACACATTTCTCTTTCCTCTGCACAACTCTCCACCACACATTTTCCACTATCTTAATATGTGTGCCATTTGTACTTCAGGAGATAAATATGGGACGCAGGGAGTAATAAAAGTTTTTTTACAAGAAAATTGGCCGCTTTATTAAATCAAAGATTCGTTTGCAACATGGGCTTACAACATAATCAGGTGGGAAAATATAGCTACTACTAAGGTCTGAGATGTCAAAATGAGCTCTAGCTATAGCATGAGCTGCACGATTCGCAGACCGATTACAAAAAGATATAATATAATTCCTCTTTATTTGAAGTACGAAACGAATATAATCAATTAACAGATACGTGTATGCCAAGCCTCCTCCTCTTTGCACTCCTCCTATTGCTACCTGCACTGCTGCACGTCAGATTCAATTTCTACCTCTTCCCACCCTTCACTGATAGCTCCAAGAATAGCCGCCCGAATTCCTACCGCTTCCGTCTCGGCCGGAGACCATTCAGCTCTGCATGATCCCCCAAAGGCTTTTAGGAAATCCCCTTGATCGTTCCTATCCATCCACACGCTCTTATTCCTCCCGTCTCGTTCAGCGCTGCATTGTTGAAGACTATTTATTGTGAATCAAGTTTGTCTGTCTTGTCTGTAATAAGTTAGATGTTTGCTATTTCTATTCTGTACTGATTAAATATATCTGTTAGAATAGTATACAATATGGGCCAAGTGTTAGGCCCATACTCAGGCAAGAAGCCTTTGTACGCATACCTGAGCCTCGCCTATAAAAGAGGGAGGAGGACTCAGGTTTGCGGTTAACTTTCGTATCTGCTCAAAATAGCCTTAGCGCTTATCATTCTTGTACAAAAGATTCACGGTATATCAGAGAAGGTTTACACTTGATCTTTCTGTGTTCATCTTTGTTGTTAATCTTTCATCTGTATGCCATATTATACTGTTGTTATAGAAAACAGGGACTAACAAATGGTATCAGAGCCGATCGAGAGCTGATCAGAAGAACTATCTGCGAAAGACTCTGTTTTTGTAGAATAGCGAGTTTATCATCTGTAATCTTATTTCTGCACCAAATACTGTAAAAGTTATACTGTTAGAATCGCGTGTCAAAGACGATCAAGCAGTATATCTTCCTTTTTCGTTTCTGCATTTTTTCTTCAGAAGTAAACTCGCACCCATGAACTCGCACCCCTCGTTTCTCTAAGCTCTGTGCAGCTTTTTGACCTGAAACTTGGGTAAAAGGATCTCTACTACAAGGGCTACAACCTACCATATTTGTTTTTCTGAAAATCTGAAGTTTTATTTTTTCAGGAATTCGCAGCCCAAGGTGTTATTGCATAAACTCGCAGCCTGTAAACTCGAGTTGAGAAACTCGCAGTCTGCTAACTCGAGCTCAAGAACTCACAGCCTACAACTCGCGGTCAATAACTCGCAGTCTACAAACTCGCAGCCTGCAAACTCGCAGTCTGACCACGAGTTTTGACCCTGCGAGTTTACACCTCGAGTTCTTGGAAACTCGAACTCTTGACCTCGAGTTCATAAACTCGAACTCTCACCTCGAGTTCCCCAGACCTCGAGTTTAGGCTTTGAACACTCAGGAACTCGAGTTCTTGATTTAGTAAATTTTCTGATCTTATTTCTCGAACGGTCAGTTTTCTACAGCTACAGGAATGGCTTCTGAATCCAATGCGCAAGGAAACAGCAGTACTCCTCCATCTCCGAGGAAAGGGGAGTACCAAATGTGGAGAACTCGTTTCTTGAATTTCTTAGAACACAAAGAAAACTCCGACGCAATGCTGGAATCACTCCTGGAAGGACCAGCTGTACTAATGATTGACGTAGGAGGGGACTCAACTAATAATCCACCCATTCCTCCGGAAACAAGACGAAAGAGGCCTTCTGAATACACTGAAGCAGACAAGCTAAGGCTGAGAGGAGACCTCATGGCCAAAACATACCTTCTCCAAGCCATCCCAAATGAAGTGTACGTGATGATTGACAGTATGCAAACTGCAAAAGAAATGTGGGACGAGATTGAAAAATTAATCCAAGGCACGAGCATAAGCCTAAAAACCAAGAAATCTGCTATTTTGATGGCTTATGACTCGTTCAAAGCTGCTCCTGGAGAACCTCTTCACGAGACTCATGCCAGGCTTGTGAAGCTGATGAATGAAATGAGGAAAATCAAAATATTCAGAACCAACCTGGAACTGAATACTAGATTTTTGTCTAGTCTGCACCCATCTTGGAGTAAAACAGTAAAGGACTTGAGACAACGCATTGACATGGATGAAATTGATCTCTTCACCTTGAATGAGCTGCTAAAGGAGTTCGTCAATGACGTTGTATGCACTGAGGAACAATCAAGCCCAAATCCTCTAGCTCTACTAATGGAAGCTCAGCCCAAAAGAACGGCGAAACCTCTGCAGAAGAAGAAGAAGAAAGTAGTGGAGGTTGAATCTGATGAAGATGAGAGTGATGAAGAAGGAACTGATCTTGAAGCTGAGCTTGCAGATCTCCAGAAGAAGATGGCCCTGCTGGCCAAGAAGTTTGCCAAGAGGAACAACTCTTCAAATAAGCTGCGAACCTCTTCTTCCAACTACAAACAAAAGAACCAGGACCAAAGCTCAGCCAGGAAGGCTACATCAACTGCTAATGCCCCTGTGTGCTATAACTGCGGGAAGCCTGAACATATCAGCAAAGACTGTCGGCTCCCAAAGAAGAGAGATGCAAACTTCTACAAACAAAAGATTCTAATGAATAAACAAAAGCTCTTCTTAGCACAACAGGAGGACGTAGAAGCCTCTGGCAAACATGCTGAGCTGGTCCAGTGGGCGGAAGATGATTCTGAAGAAGAAGAAGAAGAGGAAGAGAACTTCGCTTTGATGGCAAGGCTGGAGGATGAAGAAGAGAAAAAGGGTGATGCTGCGATCCCTGGAAGTGAATGCTCTACAAGCACTGTAAGTACCTCTAATCACTCTCACACTATACAAACTCAGTCCTTACACAATAAGGACCACCTCATTAAAGAACTGCAGGAGAGATTAGACAATAATTACAGGGTACAGAAACAGAACCTTGACCAAAAATCTTCCTTAAGCGTTCAACTTGAAAATGCCAAAGATCAAATCAAAAGGGTGTCCTCAGACTTTGAGAGCTTTGAACATAAAATAGCTGAACTGACTAAGAAACTGCAAGACAGTGAAGTTGAGAAAAACACAGCTAAAGCTGACTGTGAATTTTTAAGAAATAAAAGAAGCAGCCTTTTAAGCAAAGTAAAGGAACTTGAGGATGTATGTGTCAGAAGAGGTCAAACCGAACACACAGTTTTTCTAAATCGAATAAGCGACGTTCAGCATTACAACCCAAAAGCTGGTCTTGGACTGCCGAACCCGCGTCATTTAAGGAAAGTTGACTGCCGCCAGTTGTATGATGCAACTTACTTAACTCTAGACATTGATAAGAAAATGAAATTTGGGAGTGAAGAAGAAACCACTAAAGAAGAAGAAGAGAAAATGAGTAATCCTAAAATTGAAACCTCTCTTGACTATACTCCTCTGGTTGAGAAAGCTCTTTCTAAAGAAAAGGTAATCTACAACGAGGAGGGGTTTGACATTTTTAATGTCCCAAAAGGGGTTCCTTACTTCGAAAGTCCAATGGGTCCCACTCCCAAAACTGGAATTTTTAAGTCCGGTCAAGACAAATGCATCTCTCCTTTGGTCCAAAAATATGCAGATCTTCAGAAAACCCTTGACAATGAGAGAGAGCGTTTTGAAACTGAAAAGAAATATTCTGAAAGCAATTGGCAAGAACTATTAAGCAAATTTGATGAATTGAGTGAAAAATATCATTCTGTCTTAAAAACTGCTCAAACCTCTTCTGATAAAACTAAATCTTCTGAAAAATCTGCCACTCATCACTCTTCTCCTATTGTCACAGGACAAGAAGTGAAAAGAAGAGGAGAAGAGAAGAAAGAGTGGGAGATGAAAAGAAAGGAAATAGCTGCTGGCAAGAAGAAAGTTTTTGAGAATAAACCTGGTCCTAGATCCAGCTCCATTTTGTACTCTAAAACTAAGACTAAACCTGTCCATGTAAACTCAGTTTCTAGTAGTTCAGTCTTGAGTCCCAAGCTGAAAAATTCTGTGACATCTTTTGAACATGGCTCTTTGTATAATTCTACTATTGCTTATGGTTATTCTGCTCCAGACCCCCAAAATTATGAATGTGATGTGAATGCTGTTAAATCAAAGCCTTTTAGAAAGCTCAAACCTGAAAGAGAAACCAAGAAAGGAACTTCTAAGGGAACGTTTTTTATTCCTGATATGAAATATTCTCTCAGAGTTCATTCAAGAAAACATCTTAATCGGCTTTCTAAAGAGGAGATTTTCAAAACTAAACTGAAGAAACAACCGTTCAATCACAAAGCACATGTCTACTCTCCTCCTAAACCTAAAATGGAAAGGTGGGTCCCCAAGATAAGACCCACACAAACTGAAACAGCAAGGTGGGTCCCCAAGATAAGATCCACACAAACTGAAACTGAAAGGTGGGTCCCTAAGATGAGACCTATCAGACCTGAAATTGAAAGGTGGGTCCGCAGACGAAGACCCATCGAAACTGAAACTGAAAGGTGGGTCCACAGACGAAGACCCATCCAACATGAACCTGAAAGGTGGGTCCCTAAGATGAGACATCTCAGACCCACTAAAATTAAAAGAGAAACTGCTAAGTGGGCCCCAAAAATCAGACCCACTGTAAAAGCAAATCTGGCTATCGGAAAGCCCACAAGAGATAGA